TATAAAATTTGGAGAGGAAATTACCATCATTAAATATATTTAATAACAAAGGCAGTGATTAACTGAAAGAAGAAATAACAGACTAGACATGGATGGCAGAAAGACTTCGATTGGAAAGCATGGGCTTAGGTACCCCAAGTGCCTGACAAAGGGCACTACTTCTGCCCCAAAGCACTGAGCACTCAGATGTTTAAACTATGTATGAAAGAAATACTATTCTAAATTATGGCAAAATTTGAAAATGAAAATTCACTCAAGCAGACCAGTACATATTTAGATTTTCTTAAAAGGTCAACAGAGGGGTTAGAGAGATGGCTCAGTGGTTAAGAGCACTGGCTGCTCTTGCAGAAGACCCAGGTTTGATTCCCAGCACCCACACAGCAGCTAACAACTGTCGGAACTCCAGTTCCAAGGGACCTGACACCTTCTTCTGACCTCCATGGGCATTGCACAACACTTACATACATGCACTTACATACACGCAGACAATATACTCATACACATAAAATATTTTTAAAAGGTCAATAGAAAACAGAGAAAAAACAAAAATTTAATCATAAACAAATCAAAGTATAATAAATCTGAATGTTATGCATGTTTACTTAACAAACATTTTTACTGTGTATCAGGTACTGTCCTAAGCACTTTTCAAATATTGACTCAGTTACTCTACAATTAACCTTACGAGAACATCTGTCTCCTTTTTACACTTGAGGAAACTGAGACACAGAGAAACTGAGTAACTTCCCAAGGACATGAGCTGAGAAGTAGTGGATTCAAAACCCAAGCCCAGGCAGGTACTGTGAAAACAGACTCTATCCACTGCTGTCCAATAGAGCTTTCTGTACTATAGCTACTAAAGACTTAGGGTATGCAAATATAATTGAAAGACAAATATTTATTTTACAGAATTTTAATTACTTAAATTTAAATAACCAAATGTGACGAGTGGTGCCACACTGGAGAACTCAGACTACAGAGTCTTGTCACTACACAGCATGCCTTATTGACAGCATGAGGAGAAGAATGTCGTTCAGGTGATCCATTACACTTAATCTTTAACATGCAACTAATTCAAAGAGAACCTTTAAGTCATTTAAGAGTTTTAAATTACAAAGGACTGTAAAAACTTACTGCTTTATTTCAAAAACTGTCCTACTTCAAAAGTTCTCTAACCACAGTCAAGAAATGATACAATGAGATAATGAACTAATAAAATAGGCTCATTTGTCCTGGGGGGAAAACTGTCTTCCTGTAGCCACAGCTGGCCGGGAACTCAGTATGTAGACCAGGCTGTCTCCATCTCACAGAAATCTGCCTGCCTCTGCTTCCCATGTGCTAGGATTAGAGGGGTGCACCACTATGCTAGGCTTCTGAAATAATTTTTAGAGGGAAAAAAAGGTCATTATTATCTGAACTAAATATATTTTCTGAATACAGCCTTAAAAGACTTTTTAATCAATAAACTTTGCCTAAATTTAAAGATAAAACTTCCTGCCTTAAATTTTCCAAACATAAGTTAATTGGCATTGTTTTAAAAATTAATAAAGATCACTATATTGTATCTGACCACTGTCTACAAAGCCATGCATACTGTCCTAAATGTAACACCAATAGTCACCTGAGAGACCAGGAGTACAATACAAGCAACAGTAACAGCAACAATTTTAGCAGCAGTCCACACGTCATCCTCACAAGTTACTAAGTACAACCTAAGCCCTTTATACAGCTTATCCTATTCAGTCCTCACAACATTCTGGCAAAGTAGTGACTATCACTGTCCCCATTTTTCAGAACTTGATGCACATAGCTAACAGGTGAACAAATCCAAAAGTGAGAGGCCTCCATCTGTCTGGTTTGGAGTTCATGCTCTTAAACGCCCTCCTACATTACCTTTCCATCATAGCAAATCACTCACATAACTGTGCATCAACTCAGCAGTAAGCTGTGAAAATCTCCAAAAGTGATTCATAATTAAGCCAAATACACAACTCTCTAATACTACTAAAAAGCACTTTAACATTGTGTGTGCATCTGTACATATGGAAAAAGTAACACAGTCAAATCAGCATTATGAATTGATATTGTCACCAAAAGGTTAGTACAAAAACAAACAAACAAACAAAAAAAAAAAACAATGGTTAAGAGCACTGGCTACTCTTGCAGAGGACCCAGGTTCAGTTCCCAGCACCCACATGGAAGGTAACAACCATCCATAACTCTGGTTCCAGGAGAATCTGAAGCTCTCGTCTGCCCTCTGCAGGCATAGCATGGTACAGGTGCACTTACATACCTGCAGGCAATATATTCATACACATAAAAAATAAATAAATTTTTTAAATAAAAAATGGCTTTAAGAGATAAAGTAGAGGACAAACGTTAAGAACTGTATGAGATCTTTGGAACAACTAATCCTGTAATAGATGGAAAACACACTGACACCAAAATTCACTGACTGGCCTGAAGTCACATGGTGGTAAAACTAGATCACAGGTCTTGACTCCCAAACCATCAATATGCCCACATTACAATGTTTCATCTTAGGGCATGCACTGTTCCTTATTAAAAATGCCCAACCTCAGCACAGAAGACAGCACCATACAACAGTATTTAAATTGTACACTTAAAGACTATGTATTTAAATGATACTTTTACTTCTGATTGTATTCTTTATCACATTGGACAGCTTACCAATACCAACTACTTGGACTACAAACAGTAAACCAGAAGTCTAGCAGCCAGGGTTGGCACACATGCTTAGTCCCAGTTTCTGTATTTCTGCTACTGCACTGTTTTCACTCTCACAGTCACATCATGGCTGTCACATCTGGAGGGACTAAATTCACACTCCAGGGGAGGCAAGGCTGTCATCCACAAGTGCAAACCACCTCAAAAGGCAACTTTCTCAGAAATCCCTAACAGGCATTTGCTTATGTTAGGAAATTAAGTTTGTTTTCTACTGACCATAAGATCACTCCCAAGAAAATCAAGGTTCTGTCATTAGTAAAGATTCAAAGGAAGACGGATATTTTGCAGACAACGAACAGTCTCTGCCACATGAAGCCATTTCTCAAACTCTCATTAAATAATTTTTATAGTGTCTTCTTTAGAGCTCAAAGAAGAAACTCTGTAAATCATGAAGAACCATAAAGCACAATCAAATAAAGCTGTATTAGATGTTATAACTTCAGTTTCTCGAGCATTCTGATGCAGCTAGCACAAGAGCAGGAAGAAATCAACAAACACAGCAAATAACCAAGATTAAGCACAAATTCTAGATTTTGTGGCAAATTGATTCAGAAAGCTCTTTCAGACAGCAGTGGAAGGGTGGAGCTTGCTCTCCCTTCCTCCAAATATCATCTTGACAGCATATCCAAACTTCTAGGGTAGTTTTGTTTGGTTGGTTGACTGCTTGGAGTTTGAGTTTGTTTTGCTTTGATGTGTGTGTGTGTGTGTGTGTGTGTGTGTCTGTGTGTGTGTGTGTCTGTGTGTGTAGCCTGACTCAGCATCCACTTTAAGGTCAAGAGTAAACCCAAACTACTGAGAACCTGTTCCTTCAGAATTCCCTCACTCGTTCACTCGTTCTTTTATTGAAACAGCATATCCAGCATGAAATGGAGATGTCAAAATGGAAAAGATTTTCTCTCTTCTGACCCCTTCTGACTTAGAATAGCATTCACATACACAATCATAAACAGATGTTAACGATTTCTCTCATTGCTTGCAATGAGCTCAACACTGTTGCAGCACTTGATATGTAAACAAACACAGATACATTCATACACTATTTCGAGTTTAAAGCAAAGAAGGGTCATGAAGGATTAAGGCCATATGGCCAGGTCACAAGAGAAGAACATGACTCAGTGAGTTTGTATATATTATAAACAAACTAAGATTAACTTTTTGGTTGCAAGGTTAGGTAAAAATATTTGTCCACAGAGTTATGCCCACATTGTAAAAAATCATTCCTACAAAGATCTCTCCCTGAACCTAGAACTCATGATGCAGCCAGATAAGCTGTTCAGTGAGCGCCAGAGATCCTCCTGTCTCTGCCTCCCCAGTACTGAGATTACAGATGTACACCACCACACCTGGCTTTTATGTGGATTCTAGGGATCAAACTCAGGTCCTTGTCGGTGTGCATCAGGTACTTTATTAAATGAACCATTTCCCCAACTCCTTGTCTTATTTTGTTTTTCCATTTCTGCTACATAGCCCAGACTGGCCTAGACCTCCTGGTCTACATTGCCCCAGTACTGGCATTACAGGTGTGTACTACCACATCCAGCTTGTAAGCTGGTCTTCATATGATCTCTTCCTGTGTGGGCACCTGAGCTCCCCTCCAACCCATCTCTACTACTACTCCTCAGCCTTAATCTAATTTCTTGCCATGCTGACAACACAGTTTCTCCAATATATTTGCCTTCATGTAACTCCATGACTTTTTAAAAAACACATGATCTCTTTTGTTTGGGATGTGCACACATGCTCATTTTTCCCTGGAGAGCTAAACTTTATGTATCCTTTGAGGTTCAGCTCACCTGAAAACCTGGGTCATCAGTGTGATCCTCTCCCTTCGCTCATTAGGAAACTAGACTCAATCAAGACCTATACACTTTGGGAAGACTTGGCACCTGTACTATAGCACCTACCATACTATTACAGTCACTGATTTTTGCTCTGATCATGTGGGTCTGAGTTCCTGGAGGAGTTAGCTGAGTATTCCTGAACTTAGGATGCATTACACATTCAATACATTTATCAGATAAACCAGGCCAGGTGTGGTAACACACGTCTTTAATCCCAGCACTCCAGGGCAGAGGCAGAGGCAGAGGCAGAGGTAGGTGGATCTCGTGAGTTCAAGGCCAGCCTGAATACCAGAGGAGGTTACCAAGATATCTAGGACAGTGCTAAAGAACAAAAGTAAGAAAGCCAAGAGCTCGTGTGTTTGTGTTCCAACAAGAGAGACCTCCAAGGCCTTGTTTAAAATCAACTCTTACCTTAAGAATAACTGTAATGAAGTTGTCACCAGGTTTTGCAATCTACCAAAACAGAGAAAAAAGAACACTAGAAATAAAAGCAAAAATAGACAAATGGAATCACATCAAACTAAAAAGCATCTGTAAAGCAAACATTCAAAATGCGAAGATGACCTACAAAATAAAAGAAATATTCACACACTATGCACCTCAAAAGGTGCTGACATTCCAAAATTCCCAAAACCTACCTGGCTGGAAAAGAAGGGGGGGCGGGGGGGGGCATCAGGTCTAAATAGCCATTTTTCAAAAGAAGATGTAGAGAGATGACAGGTACATGATGAAAATGTCAACATCATTTGTCATCAAGAAAACACAAATCAAAATCACAATGCGGTATCACCTCAGCCCAGTGGGTGAACAGTACTGAAAAGACTGAACACAGTGCTTATGAGGACACAGAGAAAAGAGAACACCACTTCGAGAAAGTACACAGTACAGAAGCTCCGACAGAAAATTAAAAATACAATTATTACACAGTCTAGCAATCTGAGGTCTACGTAGACATCCAAAGGAAATGAACTTAATATGTCAGAGACATTTGCACAACCATGTTCATTGAAGAACTATTCATAACAGTCAAGCAAACAAAAAAAGAAAATGTAAATAATAACTGATAAACAGGCAAAGAAAATGTGGTAAACAATACAATATTACTTGGCTATGAAAAGTGAAATCCTGGGGCTGGAGAGATAGCTCAGCAGTTAAGAACACTGGCTACTTTTGCAGAGGACCCAGATTCAATTCCCAGCACCCACGTGGCAGCTAACAACCATCTGTAACTCCAGTTTCAATCCAACAACCTCTTCTGACCTCCTCCGGCATTGCACAACATGGGTACATTTACATACATGAAGGCAATACCTTCATACACATAAAATAAAAATAATTTTACAAGACGAAATCCTAGCCAGGCATGGTGGTGCACACCTTTAGTCCCAATACTCAGGAGCAGAGGCAGGTGAATATCTGTGAGATCAAGACTACCCTGATTTACACAGCTAGTTCCAGGTCAGCTAGGCCTACAGGGAGACCCTGTCTCAGAAAAAAGTAAGAAAAGAAAAGAAAAAGAAAAAGACATCCTGGAATTTATAACAAAACGGATGAACTAAGAGATCATTAAACAAAGTAAGCTGGGCAACAAAATGCAAGCATCACATGATCTCATTCCTGTAGAGAATCCAAAAAGGTAGATCTCAGAGAAGATGGGAGTAGAATGGTGATTATCAGAGGTCAGACACAGCAAGGTGGGGAGTGGCAGTGAGAGGTCAATCAATGAGTTCTAAGTAACAATCAGATAGAAGCAGGAAAGCTCTGGGACATAATACAGTGACTATACAGTACATTATAAACAACTGATAAATGTTTAAAGATAAAAGTGTTAACATGATTTAAGCATTATACAGTATGTACCAAACATTATACAGTATGTCATTAATATGTACAACTTTTACAAGTTTTCAAGCACTTTTTTTTAATAAACTTTTTACAAACAAGTCCTTTGGAAAGGAAATGAAGTATCTAAATCATCCCAAGTCAGCAGCTTCTGTTTGAAAGCTGGAGAAACGTGAACTGTTCTCACATGATTTTTATCTAAATAAGCATGAGGATTTAAAGGCAAACCTAGTCCCCTGGAAATCCACAGCTCCAGTGATCACGTTCATACCTCGTGCATGGCTCAGGAAACTGTGAGCTTTACTTTTCAGTCTGATCAACAGTGAGTTCTCGGCCTAGTCAATGTAGTGGAGACTGGCTCTAGAGACTCTAGAGTCAGAAGCAAGTTAACAGGACATTCAGAAGAAAACTGTGATGGTTTCTTTTCTGTTTAACATAGTGCCACTCAGCTCATCCACTTCTGTTCCACAAGACTACATTGTTTTATCTCTGTCCTTGAAGGCTCTATGTTGGAAAGTACATGTCCATTAAATTACACCAGCTAAGGAAAACCTCTTAGACAAGACTGCCCTAACAAAGGCAAGCACGTTCATTCACTCCATTGCATAACTTTTTTCCTCCCCCAAGGTAATTTTAAACCACACCCTGGCCTGGGATCCTACAAGTTTGTTTACAATATTACACCAAAGAAAACTGAGTGGTGAAAACATCTCAAGCAACTTATAATTATTTCAACCTAAACTTTGATATCCTACTAGGATGTCTTCACAAATCTATTTTTCCCTTCTATTTACTAATGTTAATATTAGGACAATATTTGAAAATGATGTGTTCTCTCTACATCTAACCACATTCATGTTATATTGTTAACTGTATTTTAAATTCTTTTTCTACAGATTTATTTTTATGATTTTTTAAAGTATGTATATATGGGGGGGTGCTCATGAGTTCAAGTACTCAGAGTCCAGATGAAGGCATCAGATCCCCTGGAGCTGGACTTACAGGTGGTTGTGAGCTGTCCAATATAGGTACTGGGAACTGAACTCAGGTCCTCTACAAGTACAGTACATGCTTTTAACCCATCTCCCCACCCCATATTTTAAACTCTTATTATCAGTATTTCATATCTGTCTATGATACTGCTTTTTAAAATATTTTATTTATTATTTCTATTTTATGTGTATGAGTGTTTTGCCTACATGTATGCAAGTGCACCTGAGTCATGCAAAGACCACAGACGTCAGAAAAGGATGTCAGATCCCATGGAACTAGAGTTACAGACAGCTGTTAGCCACCATGTGGGTGCTGCGAATGGAAACGGGGTCCTCTGCAAGAGCAGCCAGTGTTCTTAAACCAGAGTCATCTCTCCAGCCCCGTATTGCTTTTCTCAAAGGGACTGCCATTATTTAAAAACTGGTTGGCTAGAGAGATGGCTTTAGTACTGCACTTGCAGAGGACCAGAGTTCAGTTCCCAGCAACCATACTGGGCAGCTTGGAACTACCTGTACTCACATGCACATACCTATACAAAGACACACACAAACACAATAATTAAAAAATAAATCTTTTTAAAAATCATTTCTTTTTTAAAAAATGGTAAAATACAACAGTATTTTGCAGAAGAATAAAAATAGTAAATACGTTAACAAAAAGTAAATATATTAACAATACGACTATTAACACTATTAGAAGAGTTCTGAAAAGCAAGTTTCTCAAAAAAAAAATCTTTGCATAAACTTTTTCTGTTTTCCCAATTAAAGAAAATTCTATCTAAAACAATTGAAAATGTGAGCACAAACACCACACCTTACTGCACAGTATCTTTGGCAGAATTCATTCTATATTCATATGGTGTTTCCTGGCACTTACGAGATACATACACATTCTTC